TCTAAAAATGTAAATTAAAATTAAAAATAAAAAGAATCATGACGCATAATAATGACCCTTTGTCTGAAAGGGAAAAAACCAACAACAAAACCAAACAGGCAATCTGTATTAATCCTAAACGCATCTAATTATCGCCAATGGTCCTTAAATTATACTTTTACTAAAGCTGATCAGACAGACCATTTAGAAATATCTCAATGGCAACCAAAATACGATGCTCTCTAGCAATATTCTGTCGTCTGCTTTCGTCTCCTCTTTCTGCCCCCACCCCCTCACCTCCCTTCCCCCCCTCTGGGCTCCTGACTCTTTCTGCAGCCTTTCTACGGTTACTCCTTGACTCCTTCTTACAGCTGTCTTTCTACCACACCCCTGATCTTCTGGTAGGAAAGATCTACACCTAGCCTTCTCGGACAAGGGCGAAAAATCTCGGAGGGCCCGTGTGCAAGTTGCGCACGTTAAAGATCCCTTGGTGGTCTAAAATCGATTAGAGTAGGCTTCGGCCGCCACCCGGACAAAATTCAAAATTTCCTACCAACTGAAAATATTAGATGTGTCCCGCGCGCTCATATGACCTTATGCAGTCGCGAGCGCCGTAAAACGCTTTACAAAAACAAAACAAAAACAGAATATGACCTATTAAAAATATTACATTACAAGTGTCGCAAATTTTTTACTAAAACTTAACTAAAAACTAAAAATGATCAACGCAAAAACTAGCGAGTCTTGCACATATAAGTAAGGCAAGTGGGAATATATATTTATTAAAAAGCGAATCTTGTTGTAAATGCCATGTACCTGTGAATGTCTTCCGTCCTGTCTGCTTGAGCTTAACTTGATGAAATGTTTTCCCTATCACGGTGGGTGCTTAGTGAGTGTTCAGGTGTGGTTAGCTCCTTCTTTTCTATCAAATATATATATCGTCCTTACTCCCCCCTCCTCCTCCTTTTTTGTGTTTTTAACCTCTCTTTTAAAACCTCTACTCTTCGGCACTAATATGACCTTATTCTGTTGCAAGGGCCATATAACTCGTCCTAAAATTTAAAACGAACTTCCACGGTGGATGGCGGGTGCTCTGGTGTGGTTTGCTTCTTCTTCCCTATCAAGCATCTATTGTCATTATCTCCCCTCCTTCTTTTTTATGTTTGTTACTCTCTTGTAACACCTCTAATCTTCTGGCGCCCTTATGACCTTATGCAGTTGCGAGCGCCTTAAAACCTCTACTAAAACAAACAACCAAACACAAAAATTAACTTCCCTATCAAGGAAATGAACTCCTCTGCGAGTGAGACGGAGAGCCTGTAGCTATCCACCCGCTGACGAAGGAGCAAAATGACAATGACAATGTCAATGACAATGACAATGGCAATCTTTATTCATCTCGCAGGGTCGTTAACAATGGCAGTAGACGTTACAAAAGTTAGACTTAATGGTACACTCACGCAAACGCACAACAAGACAGGACATTGGGCCGAGTAAATACATGTCTCACGTGCTGGGACAACCCGCTCCGTAAAACATTCTCTCTCTCTCTCTCTCTCTCTCTCTCTCTCTCTCTCTCTCTCTCTCTCT